GCGCAAAACATGGTTTAATATAAAATGTTAATCTAGTGTCAGATTCCTTTTTATATGATGAGCATCCTTCCTGAGTGTAAAGACATTTTTACATCATGTATGTATGTGTATATATACACACACACAGTTAAAACAACCATTAAGTACAAGTTATTCCTTTTTTCTATTTCAGGAAAACAGCAAGAACAGAAAATGACAGAATCCTCAGTAACTAAATCTAATCTCAGCTGTTTGAGTGTTCAGTGAGTCACTCTTTACCTTTATTCCAGCTTCCATTCTTTTCAGGAGACTCACTTTCAGTTTCTCACAGAAATCTGCAGACACACCTCCCAAGTTCAGTCTTAGAAGTTGGTTGATCATTTTCTGAAGTAATCAAACACATTCAGTGATGCTGAGGTCTGGACTCTGGGGTGGTCAGTCCACTGTTCAGCTTCTTTGTTTGGTGTGTCCGTCTCCTTTTCTCAGTGAGGTTTCTTGACAGCTACACATCCTTTCAGACCCATAGCGCTGAGTTGTCTTCTCACAGTGGAAGGATGGACAGAAACACCTGTGGATGTTTTCAGATCTGAAGCAGCTTGATTTTCTCCTCTCTCTCAAAGATGAAAGCTTTAAGTGCTGTTTATCTGATGGGGACAGTTTTGGTGTCTACCAGGTCTTCCAGGTGGTTGTTAGGAGCCTCACTTTTTCATTCATTTTCCTTTGACTTTCTCCTTCATTATCCAAGGGGTTATCTTATATATAATCTCCCCAGTAACAACTGAAAAATAAATAACTTCTACTTAATGGTTGTTTTGAGTGGAAGCTAAATAAATAAAGGGCGTTAGATCAGATAGTACTGGGCATTTGCATATGAATCGAATATTGCATCAATACAGTTACTTCTAAAAGTAAAAGTGTGGAAATGCACACATTTAAATGAAGTAAATTCAGGGCAGCCACTTTTTTCAGTGTGAGACAGGTTGAGTTTTGCATAGAGTCGGGTGTAAATGTATACACTAACCCTGAGGTGATGCACTCTGTGTTTCCTTCAGAAGAGTCCTCCTTATTGAGTGTCGGGCGGTGAAGGAACCCCGCGATGATGTCATCCAGGTTAAGGTTTCAGTCTGACATTTCAGCTGAATGTGACGTGTGTGCAGAAGTATGTAGGTCGAGCGAATGGGAAGATTTCAGAGCTTTCTGATTAACTCCCTTAACATCCACACACTGTCATTCCTGATGACTCAGAGAGCACTGGGCCTCATTCGTCACCAACCATTCCTAAGATATTTCTTCTTAAAACCCACTCACACAGTTTTTACAGAGATTCTGACATTCACCAGTGTTTTCTTATTTAGGATTTGTTCTTAGGTAAGAACAGAATCTACACACACTCAAGAGCACAAAGGTGAGAACAGCTCTGTGCTTTAAGAACACGTCATATAATAATAATTATTATTATTATTATTTTTTATATATAGCACTTTTCATGCCGGTGGTAACTCAAAGTTCTTCACAGACAGGTTATAAAGTTAAACAGTGATACAAGAAATTATAAGTATTCATTTAGAATCATAATAAAATGACAAATCAAATTAAAAGATAAACCAAGAGACGTAGAGTTTTAATTAAATGCTAAGTTACGTTTTCAGATGTTTAAAAGTGAGCTCTGAGCTTGACTGTCTGATAGAAGGTGAACTGAGCTCCACAGTTAAGCAGAATAACTGAACAAGGTCTCTTCATGTTTTCTGTATTTTAGAGAAGGTATTTGTAGGCCAGTAGATTCTGTGTATCACTAAAAAGGGTTCTGTCAAGCTGTAATAGAAGAACCCTTTTTGGTTTTATATAGAACTCTTTCCAAAAAGGTTCTGTGTGTTGTACATGGTTTTATATGGAACCTTTTTGAAAAGGGTTCTATATAGCACCTAATAGGGTTCCTTTATTGTATACAAGCTGGGCACAGAAACAATAGAAGAACACTTTTGGTGCTAATCGGAACCATATACAACACATTCTCCATCAGTCTGAAGAACCATTTCACCTTGCAAAGAAACCATTTAAGCATATGAAGGGTTCTTTTAGTGTTCATGGTTTTACATAGAAACACTTTCTTTTCTAAAGAACCCTTGAGGAATCATCTTATTAAAGAGTGCAGAGTGTATGTAAGTAAATGTGTTGGGTTTTGTGACATCACAAAAATTTTAAGCGGCTGTGTGAACCGGGGAATGAACGGTACATTTTGAAAATCAGTGTATACATACTACATCAGATCAGTTTATTCACAAAAGTGAGAGAAATGGTCATTGATGTGGGCCTTTTTAAGACAGATGGACGTGAAGGTCGAGGGGTTGAGGAACCTGCCTCTAGGGAGATGAAGGAAATAAACTGCAGATTTTTTTCCCTGATTAGTCTGATGAGTCACATTCAGGCTGATTTTGACTCTGGGGTTTATTCACGGTCTGAATGGAGATCAGCTGTGATTAGAACTTGGTCAGATGTTTACATTCTTTTCCCTCTATTCGACTTTTTTTTTTCCGCAGCCCCCGGTGTCCTATCAGTAGAACTGCTCTGCTGTTTTCTGAGTGTCCATGTGAAGTCCAGGGGCTCTCCAGTTATTTAGAAAATGTTTAGTGTTTATTAAATCTACAGTACCAAAGATTTGGTAACATTTTATTTGGAGTGGTATTTGTAGATGATTTATAAACTCTTAACAGATTATCAGTAACACATTAACAACATATCAGGGACAGCAGCAGTAGTGAAGCATCTGAATACACTGAAGTAAACATCTTGTAGACGTTGATACATTACTTTACACCTAACCTTAACCTCAACCCACAACCTAATCCTCATGTTTCGACATGTTCGACATGAGTCTGTTGAGTGTTTGTTTCATTTAAAAAAGACCTTAATAAAGTGTCACCACTTTTTTAATACCAAAAATGTTTTCATCAGTTTTCCAAAAACGTAACATATGTAACAGAAAGCTAATTAGCGTTCACCATTTTACTGTGCAAAACTACAGAAACAACTGCTGAAAGTCACCTAGTTGTGATGTGAGCACTTAAACTTTTCATGTGTTCAAAGCACCTTCAGGCCCAAAGAGTTTCAATATGAGCTTCTAACAATTCACTCTTTAAAAAGATGGTTCTTCAAGGGTTCTTTAGTATAGACATTGGTTCTATATAGAACCATGAACACTCAAAGAACCATTTGCATGCTTAAATGGTTCTCTGCATGGTGAAATGATTCTTCAGATTGATGTAGAATGTGGCACCAAAAAGCGTTCTGCTATTGTTACAATGTCAAGCTTGTATACAATAGAAAAACATTTTGGTTCTATATAGAACCCTTTTCAAAGAATATTTTATATGGAACCATATACAACACATTCTCTGTCAGTCTGAAGAACCATTTCACCATTTCACCTCTTTACTGAAGAACCCTTAAAGAACCATCTTTTTAAGAGTGTAGGTCGAACCAGAAAACCAAAAATCATTGTTTAGACAGAACCCGCTCTTCAGGGTTTGGGAGGGTATACTGGGGTGGTCAAGGATGTTGCTGTGAGACCACTTGACCTTTGCAGAGGTTTTTTCGTTTTCTTATTTATCCACAAAATAAAGTGTAGATTACATATTATACTGAAAAATTCAAGAGAAAGGAATTTGTCTCTAAACTTTTGATGGGCAGGATGTGTAACGTGTGAATTGTACACATGGGCAGTGCACATAAAGATAAACACTGTTTTTAAGTGAACAATATAAACAGCACAAGAATTTTATTTTGGCCAAACATAGTGTGGATAATTTACTGAATATGGTTCTAATCAGTTCTAGTCATTTACCTCATAAAACTGATGCATAAAGGGTGTACGATCATATCTACATCATATCAGCGGATGATTATTTAAAAAAAAAAAATCAGATGTTTACATTTGGACATTATTTTAAACTGACATTTGATGATGTGTTAATTGAACCCCAGAAGAGCAGAACAATGAGTATAATCAGAGTGTAATCAGATCTGCAGGTATTTGCAAATATACTTTTTAATTCTGCACATCATTTATTGACAAACGTATACATTTTTATTTTTTAATGTTTAAAAAAGTTTACAAATTTTGCAATGTACAGCAGAAAAAGTGGTTTAGCTAGACATACATGACTAAATAACAGGGTACACACAATGTAAGACACCGTTTACTGTAGAAGGTTGTACAAAATTAATCAAATATGTACAGTGATCTCTATCAAGCAGCTTCTCTATAAAGAAATATTTTGCATGTATTTACATAAAGACTGTACATAATGATGAATTAACACTACGTTCATTAAAGCTAGTCAACCAAGTCATGTACACTCAAAATTTCAAAATTTCTGTAAGAGAAACTTACCGAGAATTGTTCATAGTGGTGGTGATAGGAATAGACGTCCACCTCTAAAAGCTCCCTCACTGAAAGTTATTACATGAAATAGTTATGAATTCACTGCCTGATGACTGAGACACTGTTTCACAGTAGTTTTGTGATAAAGGTTTGGCCTAAAATGTATTTTAATCAATCTATTAGTGGTTGAGGGATACATGAAGGCAAAACAGTCCCAAAGAAAACTTACTTTTTCAGATTGACAACTTTTTCATCAACATTCAATATAAAACTCAGAAGACACGTGTAGGTTCACTGGTGGTTTTGGATAGTAAATAAAATGTCTATATTTGTGTTGTAGTCATGGCGACCCCAGGTTCCTATCACCACCACTGTAAACCACTCTCAATCACTCTGTTTACATCTCACACACTGAATTTTATAGAAATTTGGAAAAATCAGTGAAGTTCCCCTTTGAATGCAGAACTGAAAACCTGATTAAACTGTGTGTTTTTGTGCTGCTCTGCTGTAGATCACCCTGAAGGGCTCAGTGAGTCAGATCAGATGTGTCTGAACAGGAAAAATTACACAAGCGTGCTGATCCACAGAGGAATGATGAGCTACTGGAGTTAATTTAAAAAAGAAAAGGTTAAAAGGATCATGTTTGCTTCTGACAGTCACCAGAGCCTAGTCTTACTACCAGAGTAGACCGAGGGGTGTTCATGAAGAGTCACTGCAGGGTGATAAACGTAGAACTGCGTTACAGCAATCAGGCCTTCTGATACAGATGTCCCTGCTGGCGTTTACTGAGCTGGAAAAGACTGCACAAGTCTTGCTAGGGGATGATAAAGACTTTCTGGAAAAGGAACAGAAAAACATTTTTAATAATCTGGGAAAAAAAAAAGAAATCTGGAGTTGACTCACCTCACAAATCAATTCCTTCTTACTGTTGTGAGGTTGGACACAACACTGGTAAAAATCTAATTTAACCTAATGAGAAATTGTAGAACAGACTCAGTTCATATCACAATACCTACATTTAGAGTCAGTTATTCATTCAACCTAATGAGAAACTGTAGAACAGACTCTCTCATTTGTCTTTAACCGTCCCCTGTAAATTAGTTTAATGAATTATTTTAACAGCAATATTATAAAGAAAGCTGATTAACCAGCTGAAACCGATGTAACACCATGTCTGCAACATTTTCAACACAATCATTTTATCAGGCCTAGTCATTCATTTTTTTCTCTCAGTTGTTAGTAATATTTGTCTTAATTTATATTTCAAAATAAAAGTCTCTGTGCATTTAGAATCTGTTTGAAGTGATTAAAAAATAGTTAGATCTTGTGTGCAGGACAATAGGGGAGGTCCAAAGGTGGACCAGCAGTGGCATACAGGCAGCGGGGTGCCGAGCTAATAATAATAATAATAATAATAATTTTATACCTTTTATTTATCATATTAAATTAGAATCACATAAGAAAATGATACAGATCAAGTAAAAGGATAAATACCAAAAGATAAAAGCCTGGAGACTGATATAAGGTCCTATCTGGGTAATTCTGTTTACCAGTTTCTGTGTACTTGAGCACAGTTTTGATGTATTTGTGTTTTAATGTGATACACCTCAGAAAGTAAATGTATAATTAGTGAGCAAAGTAACTTTTCTCTCTGGAGTCTGACAGCCAGACAGAGGACTCATTAGTGTACACAAAAAAAGGTTATTTAAGGGTTTTTTAGCAAAGAAAATGGTTCTATATAGGACCATGAACACTTGAAGAACCAGTTGCATGATTAAACGGCTCCGTGCCTGGTGAAATCGTTCCTCGGATTAATGAAAATGTGCTGTATATAGTTCTATATAGCACCAAAAAAGGTTCTTCTACTGTTTCAATGTCAAGCTGGTAACAACAGAAGAACCATTTTTGTGCTATATAGAACTCTTTTCAAAAAGGCTCTGTATAGAAACATTCTCCATCAATCTGAAGAACCATTTCACCATGTAGAAAACACTTTAATCATGCAAAGTGTTCTTTGAGTGTTCATGGTTCTACAACCCCATTTCCAAAGAAGTTGGGACACTGTGAAAAATGTAAATAAAAACAAAATGCAATGATGTGCAAATCATTTAAACCCTATATTTCATTGGAAATGCTTCAAAGTCAACACATCAAATGTTGAAATTTAATTGTTTTTTGAAAAAATATATACTCATTTTGAATTTGATGCCAACAACACGTTCCAAAAAAGTGGGACGGGGGCAACAAAGGCTGGTAAAGTTGTGTAATACTAAAAAACACCTGGTGGTTGATTGGCAACAGGTCAGTAACATGATTGAGTATCAAAAAAGCATCCCAGAGAGTCTTTCAGAAGTAAAGATGAGGAGGGGTTCACCACTCTGTGAAAGACTGCACGATCAAATGGTGCAATAATTCAACAATAACGTTTCTCAACATAAAACAGTACAGAACTTTTGCTTTTCATCATCTATGGTACATAATATTAAAAGATTCAGAGAATCTGGAGAAATCTCTGTATTGCTGGCCATGATCTTTGGGCCCTCAGGCTGCACTGCATTAAAAACAGACATGATTCTTAGTGGAAATCATTGTATGGGCTCAGACACACTTCTGAAAACCACTGTCTGTGAAAACAGTTTGTCGCTGCATCCACAAATGCTAATTAAAACTTAATTTCCCAAAGAAACTACATAAACAGGATCCAGAAATGTTGCCACCTTCTCTGGGCCCGGGCTCATTTGAAATGGACTGATGGGAAGTGGAAAAGTGTCCTGTGGTCCAATGAATCAACATTTGAATTTCTTTTTGGAAATCATGGACACTGTGTCCTCAAGGCTAAAGACCACTCAGCTTGTTATCAGTGCACAGTTCAAAAGCCAGTATTCATGATGGTATAGTACAGGGGTGCATTAGTGCACATGGCATGGATCTGGCACATCTGTAAAGGCACCATTAATGCTGAATGATATATACATGTTTTGGAAACATATGCTGCCATGCAGACGACGTCTTTTTCAGAGAAGGCCTTGATTATTTCAGACAATGTCAAACCATATTCTACATGTATTACAACAGCATTGCTCTGTATTAAAAGAGTCCGGGTGCCTGCAGTCCAGACCTGTCACCACGGAAAACATTTGGTACGTTATAAAATTAAAAATATGACAAAGAAGACACTGAACTGTTGAGCAGCTGAAATCCTATGTTAACTAAAAATGGGAAAACATTTCACTTTCAAACTACAGCAGTTGGTCTCCTCAGTTACCAAACACTTGGGGTATTTTTAAAAGAAGAGGTGATGAAACGCAGTGGTAAACATGCCCCCGTCCCAACTTTTTCGGAATGTTTTGTTGGCATCAAATTCAAAATGGGCAAATATTTTTCAAAAAACAATAAAATTTCTCAGTTTCAACATTTGTTGTCTTTGTACTATTTTCAATGAAACATGGGGTTTAAATGATTTGCACCTCATTGAATTTTGTTTTTATTTACATTTTGCACAGCATCCCACCTTTTTTGGAAATGGGGTTTTATATAGAATCATTTTATTTACTAAAGAACCCTTGAAGAACCATGTGTGTAGTACAGAAGATGGTCTCACTTCATTTGGATAGTCCCCTATAGCCCCCTATAGATTATCTACAGATGTTCAAATTGTAAAAAATATCTACAAAGCATCTAAAGTGGGCTATCCAAATAAAGTGTTACCCAGAAGAGTTAATGCTAGCTGGTACTAACGTGTAGATGAAGTGAACGTACCGGTGTTTGCTTTATGTCTGATTTGCTTTGGTTGGTGTTTCCACCAGCTTCTGGTAGGCTGAGAAAAGAGTGTTGGAACCAGTTAGTTTACAGGACGTGAACTGTAGAGACTCAACAAATCAGCATTCATATACACAAATAAACACACTGTATTTAGTAAATACGGAACCATGAACTCTTGAACTATTTGCATGATTAAACTGTTCTCTGCATGGTGAAATGTTTTTTCAGACTGATGGAGAATATGTTGTTCATGGTTCTAAATAGCACCAAAAAGGGTTCTTCTATTGTTATAAGCTTGACATCGAAACTGTATCAGAACCCTTTTTGGTGCTAATCAGAACCATATACAACACATTCTCCATCACTCTGAAGAACGATTTCACCATGCAGAGAACACTTTAAGTGTGGAAATGTTTCTGTGCGTGTTCATGGCTCTACGTAGAGCCACTGTCCTTACTAAAGAACGCTTGAAGAACCATCTTTGTGTGAGTGTAGAAGCTGAACAACTACATCATAAGGATATTTGGTGCAATTCATTGTTTTACTATACATGCAAAGCTTTTCAGAACTGCAGCCTGGGTGGGTGTGACTGATGTAAGCTGAATAAGCAGTTGAAGGGGAACTCCACTAATTTTTGAAAATTCTTGCATAATTAAATGGTTAAAAGTGGTTTGGTGTGAAATGCTCTGTTCTAGAGAAACTTACCAAGTCAGAATTTGTTCACAGTGGTGGTGATAGGAACCAGACGTCCACCACTAAAAGCTCCCTGACAGGAAGTTATTACATGAAACTGTTATGAATTCACTGCCTGATGTCTGAGACATTGTTTTATGATAGTTTGGAGAACTTAAACTCCATTCATGGTGGAGGGACACATGCAGGGCACTGTGAGGCGAAATAGTCCCCAAAGAAAACTTATTATTTAAGATTTTCCACTATTTTCCCATCATCAACATTCATATAAAACTCAAAAGACACGTGTTTGTTATGGATAGCAAATAAAATGTCTATATTTGTGTTGTAGTCATGGCGACTCCTGGTTCCTATCACCACCACTGTAAAGAAATCTGAACAATTTCACACCAAACCACTCTGAATCGCTCTGTTTACATCTCACACACTAAATTTTGGAGAAATTCTCCTTTAAATGTAAATGCTTTGTTGCATTACAGAAACAGTGAGTTCAGGCAGTTTTTGCAGCTTAGTTTGCATATATGGGCTGTATGGACTGGGGAGTGAATAGTATATTTTAAAGATTTACATACAACTACTATTAGCTCTTATTAAAAAAATGAGCAAGGAAAATTTGTTTTTTTTTTTATATGGGCCCTTTAAATTTGTATATCTAGCTGTATTCTGCAGTTATTTATATTCCATGACTTGTATTCCCTGTTCAGCACTCATGTCTCAAGTCTTGTTTGGTGGGTGGTGCATTTATGTACCTTTGTCGGCTTTGCTCTTGTTTTCTCATCTTTATTCTCCAAACTGCAGCAACGGTTACAGCCACAACTAAAACGGTGAGAATCACAGCCAGACAAGCTGCCATGGCCGTATACGCTTCTGCAGAGAGAGAGAGAGAGAGGGGAGTGTAAAAAAGTGTAGTGTTTATCAGTGATCTGTTAAGGAAAATAGTTCAAGACTGAATGATTTTCTATTGAGAATTGTACTTTAAAGTTCAGTTTTCATATGCAGGTCTAAAGTCTCTCAATAGGTAAAGCGCTTAACCGCTTCACTGAATTGCTTAAGTGTCTTTGACATGATGTGCATTTTTTGTGTCCAAGTCCATTATTTTCACAAAAAATACTTTAATAAATAAATACATGACATTTCAAATTATTCAGCAATTCATCTTTTTATGTGAAAATTCTTCAGTGCATTCATATAAAAATCATTCATTTTAGTTCCTTTTTGGCTTTAAAAGTCTAAAAATGTCAGGTGGTACAACCATCCGACCATATATGTTGACTAAAAAACTCAAAACATGTAATTTAGTTATAAAGTTCTAAATAAAACGGTTTGGCCTGATTTTATGTTTGAAAACTTTAAAATAAAACCAAAAAATAAGGCGACTTGAAAAATGCTCAACTCAGAGAAAAAACCTTTTGTCTGCAAGTTCTTACTTCCTCAAATGTCAGGCAGCACAAACGAAAACAAAGAACTTTTAGTTTGGCATGCTTTTACGAAAGGTGGGCCAGTGTACTGCATCATGAAGAAGACCCCAAGTGACCTTCATGGTGCAATGCCAGGGTCACAGATTTAGTAAAAATGTGATGTTTGAGTCGTGGTTAGAACGGTTCAGTTTACCATGTCAGGTGGTCTAAACTCGGCAGAACCATGTAAATGTGGAATTATTATAATAATGTTTATTTATCTGAAAAAATGTAAGTGTAACTCAAGTTGAAGGACAAAGGTTTCTACGTGTTTCTAAGTAAATGCCTGTTTAATCTGACATTAGTCTGAAAAGTCAGGCGGCTCAACCAGTCAGTCAGATGGAGAAACCAGATCAGCACAGTTTAATAACTGAAACAGGCAGTTAAAGCTTTAATAACACTCACTATAATTAGGATAGGAAATGCATAGATATATAAATGCAAATATATATGCAGAGGTAAAAATGCACATCATGTCCTTTTTAATCAGATTTTTAAAAAGTTATTTTGAATACCTCATTTGTTAGTGACCCACATACAGAGCAAGTCAACATTTTCAAGTGAAATAACTGAAGTACTGGACTCTGACTGTGAGGAATGTCATTATGAATCATTATTTTCCTTTAAATTGTTGAGAAACAGAAATACTGCTGTACTCTTACCTCTGCTTAGTCCCGGTTCTGCATCTGCAACACACAGTATCACATTTCACTCACAGCTGCTTAGAGGTAAATGGTGTAGCAATAAGAATGTGACGGTTCAGTGGGATGCACTAATATGGGAACTGTGGGCAGTTTTTCATTCAAGATTCAAGGTTGGTTATATATATATATATATATATATATATATATATATATATATATATATATATATATATATGTATCTCCAAAATAGTAACTCTACAGGGGAGGACGAACATGTTTTAACTTTAATGTAAGGTAATGTAAAGAGATTTTATTTTAAGCCATTTTGGAGCATTTCTATTGGTCCATTCATCATGAAATTCCCACACAATGTAAAGGGACAGCCATGTTTAAATGATGCAGAAAAGAGTTCTTCCGTGGTATACAAGTTTGACATTGTACCAATAGCAGAACCCTTTTTAGTGCTATGCAGAACCATGCACAACATTGTCCTTCAGTCTGAAGAACCATGGAAAGAACCACTTAAGCAAATGTTTCTTTAGGTGTTCAGGGTTCTATACAGAACTATTGTCTTTACTAAAGAACCCTTAAAGAACCATCTTTTTTTTAGAAAGAAAGAAGTGGCACCAAGCAGTGCAGGTGACTGACAGTGTTGATGAATTAATCATATGAACGTATCTGCAGATGCTGATTCTGATACATAAACAGTTATTAAATGGGCTACATCCACCTGCATTAGTTTTACAGAGAAATATAACACTGTTAAATGCAGTAAAATGAATAAGATGCACTCTGCGTTACCTAAACACTCTGCTGTTCTGAGGTTCCATAAATACATCAATATATATATAATTTAAAAACTGAATTGAATTGTGGTGAAATTTGAGATTTTCATGATGCTGGCGAATCAAATGACAGGTCAATGTGATATGCTGTGTTTACTGGAGTCAGTACTGTGAATGTAGTTTGTGTTTGTTTGTGTGTGTGTGTACTCACTGTTAGTATAGATGATGTGGTCTGTGTAGCGATTTGTACAGTCTGGTGGGACCCAGCCAGGAATACACTGACATTCTGCCTTATTATTACACACCTGTAAGACAAAAACATGGTTTTGCACAAACTGTATTTGTGATGGATGATTCAGAACAAATTAGAGATGAGTCAGTATCATTTTTGTTAGGTAATACATTTTAGTGCTCTATTTTTTATTTTTTGAGTAACCTACTTAGGATAAAGTAGTTGTTAGTGTAAATGAGTGCAACGTACATTAACCCCTTAAAATCCCAGGCTTATTACATATTAAGGCTTAATATTCAGTAACTACAGGGGCTTCAATGCAAACTAGCCGAGTTATTATGTTACAGAAATGTATAATAAAACTTTTGGCCCACCAGCGGGCCCTGGCCATTTAAGGGGTTAACCTCTTGGACCTCCTAAATGTCTCAAAAGTCTGAGGGGTCCATGAAAATAAATTTACTTTCACGTTATGCTGTCCATCAAGGAAAAATAAACACTTAAATACAAATTCAGTGAAGCTTATTGTTTATCTGCTTCACCCACAATCAGCTTCTGTCTTTAATAGTCTTAACTAGAGCTCACGCTTCCAGTTTTCCATCTTGTTGGAGTCTTTTGATTGGCTGGTTGAGCTGTAGCTGAATGTCCTCTAAAGCCAGACAGACACTGTGTGATTTTAGAAATCTTGTCTTTTGGTGACTCGCACTGTACGTTTGAATAGACCATTATGTTCGGACACAGCTATGACATATATACTTGCACTGTATGAAAATGCTCCGTCTGACTGACCTGCAGTCAGACTCTGTCTACAGACCATTATCAATGAAGCTGATTCATTCAGAATAACACGAGTACTGAGCAAACACACTGGGACACTGAGCAGCGCTGCTAACCACGCTGTGCTCTGAAATATACACACACAGCCTGTTTAACAAAGACAGTTTACACAAATCACAGTATTAAAGGTGTATACCTCGTAATTCTACTCTGTCAAACAGAGTAAAGTCAAATATACAGAATTTGGTAGCAAATGTTGACTTTTTTTGCCTCCGTTTTCTTCACCTGCTTGTCTTCACCTGTACTGGGGAAGTGGTTGTAATTGCGTTTGTGTGTGTTTAAAATGGGCTAAAATCACACACTGTATGTCTGGCAAGAATCTTTGTGTCCGACCTCCACGGTGTCAGTAACACTTCTCTGTGTGAGAAGCTTACGTCACTCTGCTTACGTCACTCTGCTTACGTCACTCTGCTTACGTCTCATGCTTACGTCACTCTGCTTACGTCACTCTGCTTACGTCACTCTGCTTATGTCACATGCTCAACTGGTATCTGATGTTGGTATCGCTGAATTTTTTTTATGAGTAAATGAGCATGATAACTGATCTGTACTCAATACCAGTATCAGTACTGATGCATTCCTAGAACAAACGAGTCAACACTGAATACCTGGGGCACATTCAGTCTCACAACATTGTGCATAGTTTTGCTATGGTTTTCAGGTTAAACAACATGTTTTGTGCAGCTTTGAGAACCGTTTTCTCTCATTTGCGTGTCCGAGGTGTTAGCCAATCAGCAGTGACGTGTATATAAACCCCGCCGTATCAAAAAGGCAGTGCACACAATGTATTCTAACAAAGTCCTCTACAAATGTGGCCGCTGCAGCTTGTACTCAACAATTAAAGACATTAGAAGTGGTGTTTTGTAGTGTTAAACATGTTTTTAAACCCACTTCATCAGGCTCCAGAAATTCTTCAGAAAGGACGCCTTGTATGGCCTTCTCAGATTCCATAGTTGCAATGCTTGCGTAACACAGCAGAGTGTAAACACACCACTATTTCCATTTAAATAAATAATAATAAATAATTTCACTATGTTTTGCTGGGTCTGAACGCAGCCCAGGTACAGGTGTGTTAGCAGTGAGTAAGCATAAACGTAATAAATGAGTTTATTAACAGTTTTAAAGCTTACCGCATTTCCTTTGCAGGTTATAGAGCAGTTGATTTCTCCATAGGCCACGTCCAACTCCACACATGCGCTGTTACTGCATACCTGCACACATCAGCGCACGATCAGCTACATTTATCTGTCCTATATTAGCACTAAGGCTTATGCTGATTGTTTTTGGCTATGTCTTCATTTTAAGATTAACAAAGAAATGTGAGGCTTTTAAAGGCTGTGAGCCAGATTGATAAAACTGGGTTGTAACAGCGCTAAACCACACAAAGTGGTACAGCACAATAAATATGAGCTATTCATAAAGACACCGTGGCGGAGGTTAGCACACTGGTGTCTTTTTAATGCTGCAGTATTTTCACCAGTGTTTTAAGCAAGATCCAATCAAAATCCACATATAAATGAGCTCATACATATTAAAACCCCACTTAGTGAAGCTCCTTTTTGGCTGCAAAAAGAAATGAAACCAGAGAAACAAATAAAATCAAAATTCTCAGAAAAAGAGCTGCAAATTTTAAGGGAAAAAGTCCTGCAAGGAATAGTAAACTGTGTAGTAAAGAAGCTTTTAACTTTTAATCAAGAAATAAATGTTTCTTTATCAGAAAATGTTTTTACTATTTAAAAAAAATGGCATTTATAAAAAAAATATATTTAAAATTCAACTTTTAATTGTAGTAACTATATTTTCATATGCAAGATTTTATTTACCAGTTACATAATCCAATAATAGCAATGCAAAAATTCAAGCAATTATAGTTACAATAATTATTCTAAAAAACGTTTAACATTTTGTATGTTTTATTGCAATTAAAAATTAAATTGACATGCTGAAATTCTATTTGTGGCGCGCTGTTTTAGCTTCAGGAATTAAGTTTACATGTGTGAAAATTAAATTTCAACAAGTATTTAATTCTTGATTTCAGGAATTTGATTTGCACTTGTGACAAATGTGAAATATGAACTAGTAAAATCAGTTTTTAATTGTAAGAAATGTCAAATTTAACATATGTACGTTGAATTCTTTGTAAAATCCATTGTAAACATAATAGTATTAAAAGTTTAAACTGCTTGCAGTGAAATCAGTTGGAACAAGTAGTCAGAATCTCAAAATGTCAAATTAATCTTCGCTTGATGGATTACAGGATAACAGGACAGCAATTCACCAAACACTGAATCTGTCGCAGGAAGAAGAGGCTGTTTTAATTACAGTGCAGTTGAACCTGCTGATCTGAAATCCTGCTTAAGCGAGTCGTTTTTCTCCTCTGTTCTCCTCCAGCAGCTGTTAGAAGGTTTGTCATGATGTTCATTCCATACAGGTCAAAATGTGTCTTTTAAATAATTTGTTTCATCAGCTCAGTGTGTGTGTGATTTGTTGCATGTGTGAATACAGTGTTTCCAAACATGTTTAGAAAATATTTAATATTTTTGCAGAATTGTGTTATGTGATGAATCACTACTGCCATATTTAAATTAAGAAAACACACAGCTACGCCTCACATCATACAAGAGGTAGAACTCAACGGTTATCCTCATTTATATAGGTGTGAAGTATAGGGACCCCCTGGATGTCTCAAAATCACAATTCTGGGGCTCCTTGAAAATAAACTTACTTTGACGTTATGGTGTTTGTTAGGGTAAAAAGACGCTCAAATCCAGATTCAGTGAAGCTGATTGTTTATCTGCTTCACCCACAATCAGTTTCTGTCTTTGGTATCTTAACTAACTAGAGCTGCAGCACTGCTCTGCCTCAGGGTGGCGCTGTAGCAGACTGGTTCACCCAGTTAGTCCTTCATAGTCTAGAAACTGTAACTCTGCCTGGATTCCTCTGAAAAATTTTACAGTGTGCTGCAGCAGATCTGGAAATCTGAAAACTCGTTTCCCAAGAGTGACTGTTCCTCATTTCTCACACTGAAGACAGAAGAGGAGATGAGTAAGATCTCAGGTAATGTGAGGAAGAGCGCATTACCACACTAGAACAGATTTTTGTTGCCTTTAAAGCAACAGTGTTGCTATGGAGAGTGAGTAAGCAGCCAGCTAACATGGGACCCCCGAATACCAGGGGATACTTCACACACAGTTTATGAATAAATGTGTTACCACCACACTGTTACATCTTACATCACAGTAAATCTGGTGCTGAGTTTTATGAATCTTCTGCTGCTTCTGCTTTTAAAGTTAAAGAAATAGCCAAAAAATGAAATTTAAATGTTAATGTCTTTTATCCTAAATGTAGTCCATCAGCCGAGGCATGTTCAGTGTCTGAAATTAGCTTCTTTAGTTTTACACTGGAGCTACGAGGCTAATGTAGCAACACTTGACACAGTTTTTGGCCAACTTCAGACACCAAACCTACCTTGGCTGATAAGCTGCATTATGTTTATGAGGAAGTAAGAACGTGTTCAGTTTTCCCTTTTAGTAAGTTTGACCTTTGTACTCTCTTTTTTACACTCATTTTCACCTGGTTGCTCTGTTTAACTACACTCTTAAAGAAGGTTCTTCAAGGGTTCTTTAGTAAAGACAATGGTACTGTATAGAAAACTGCATGCTTAAATGGTTCTTTGCGTGGTTAATGGCAAGCTTGAAGCTGAGAAGAACCCTTTCTTGTGTTATATAGAACCATATTCAAAAACATTCTGTATAGAGAATACAGAACACATTCTCCATCAGTCTGAAGATCCACTTCACCATGCAGAGGACCTTTTAAGGATGCAAATGTGTTCATGGTTCTATATAGAACCACTGCCTTTACTAAAGAACCCTAGAAGAACCGAGTATAGTACCTGATGAAGTCTATCAAAGTGAAAGAACGTCGAGTTTGTCTCACCTGTCCATCTCCACACTTTGTCCCGGTTTTGACCTGCCCATAGTCCATGGTGGGGTCACTGTAAATCGTGACTTTGCATGAACCCAATGTCACTCCTGTCCCAAACAGCGGCGCTGCTGTTCCATTAGAGCAGAAAAGCTTTCCACACATTATATCCCTGTGGGAAAAAAACATAACATAAATGTTACTGATCCTCAGATGGAAACTCAACTGAGTAAAAGTTTACAGTGTAAAGTAGAAGAATACAGTGTACAAGCACAAGATTAAACTGCACAATCTAAAGAACATAAAATAAAAGTATAAATATGCATAAATGAGTATATATAAATAGACAGACTGGTCAGGTAGTACATTTGTCATTATGGTTATTGTCACAATGACAATAATAGTGAATAATAATAATAAACAATGCACATTAGAGCACCTGTTGTAAGCTGTTGTTTAAGTTAGAGTTTCACAGTATATTGTTTGTTAATTGTTATTGCACTATTGTCTTGCCATAATATATTTATAAAATGTTGTAATATGCAAATTATCTTTCATTTGATGACTTGTGCTCTGAGCATCCTGAACAACCTCAGTGCCAAATGGGTTTTTATGAGTGTTTTGATAAATCAAGGCATTCACACAATCCAACAATATAAATGAATCAGAATAATTCCGGCCGATCTTCACCCATGCGCTGTGTTTTGAACCCAGGTTATTTTTCACATGACTACTGTTTTTCGAGATTATGGTTGAAATATGGCTGATATTTTGCGAAGTTAAAGAAAATGTGGTTTCTTTTTAAGTGATTGTTTAGTCTCATTAAGTGTCTCTGGGCTTTTCTGGGACAGCATGCAGTCTGTGGCTGTCAGTACAGCTGAGAGAAAATGAAATTACGGCAAGAACAACAATATTACGGGCATAAACAGCAGGCTGTGTCTTCATAATGACTGAACAATTCATTAAGACTTAAAGTCCAGTTGTTAGAGTTAAAATCTGAGCAAATAAAATCCAGCAAGATGAAAAACTGCCAGTTAAATAAAAAAATCACTGTTTGCTCCTAACAGACTCGCTTTAACTGGTCTACATTTTATATTCTCTCTATACATGGATTCTGCCCTCACTGGCTGAGCAGGTCAACAGAAAGCTAACGGGCTAACATGCTAACGCTACAATAATGAAGGACAAATTTCAAATGTAAGCCTTTAAATGAAGCATTACATAACAACTGAGACATACAAAGTGAGAAATGTTGCTTACATGCCTGTTATGAGCTGTATTTAAACTGGAGCTGACATAAAAATCCTATATAATGCCAAGCTAACACCGCTAGCTTGACGCTAACATAGCTAGCTAACTAGCTGGCTAACATGATGACAATACAAGGAGCATTACTGCTTTAAAAACAGATTTCTACATTAGGCAGTGCTGTGTAACGGCTCTGCTTTATGGTTTTCTGTCTGTTTCTGACCCTCAGTGTAAACAGTTTAAATGGAATGACTTTATTATTTAATAAAGTGAATATATTACAAAGCAAATCACAATCACAGTATGACATTCTGTCTATACGTTGCAGCCCCTTGTTTAAGTGTATGGTTGGACCCTGTGAAATGTACTAATTTATAACAGTTTTAATAAGAAAATAATAAGTATCTGTCATAACTTACTTCTCTGGACACGCTATATAGTCTTGTGGATACGGGCGTCTGCAGTACGCGTAATGCGTGCCTCTTGTGTTCAGATCGTAGCAGGACTCCGGGGCCACTTCAGCAGCTGAAAGAAGAAGGAGAGGAACAAAACTGCAAAGTATTAAACGGTCTGAAGTGTCCATTCAGCACACAGCAAATATCACAGTTCTTTATTTTCCTATAGGCCTAATGTGTAGCATAGATCGCTTTAAATGCGGTTCTTTAATCAGCGCGTGGGTGTACAGGCTGGTCTTTCAGAGGAGCGTGGCCTTGGTTGGAAGCGGGCTGTGAATGTCTTGAACACGCTTTATTAAAAAATCCTCCCACACGCTTCAAGGTGACACACAAAACTGCCTTTCACTCTTTACTTCTTTAAAAAATCTCATGGCCCATTTCGACAGGCAGTCACAGCTGCCACCTATGTTTTTTATCCTGATACATTTTATTCTTATACACTCTTATAAAAGATGTTCTATATAGAACATTTGCATGCTTAAATTGTTGTTTGCATGGTGAAATGGTTCTTCAGATTGATGGAGAATATATTGTATATGGTTCTGTATTGCACCAAAATGGGTTCTATTATTCTGTTGTTTCATTATTCTGTTCTATCATTACAAGCTTGGCATCGTAGCAACAGCAGAACCATTTTTACTGTTATATACAACCCTTTTCAAAAAGGTTCTATTTCCATTTTACCATGCAGAGAACCGTTTAAGCATGCAAATGGCTTTTTGAGTGTTCACGGTTCTGTATTGAACCACTGTATTTACTAAAGAACTCTTGAAGAACCATCTTTACAAGCTTGACATCAAAACAGCACAAGAACCATATACAACACATTTTCCAGCAGTCTGAAGGATAATTTCACCATGCAAAGAACCATTTAATGCAAAGGGTTCTCTGAGTGTTCATGGTTCTCTACAGAACCATTGTCATTACTAAAGAATGCACAAAGAACTTTTTAAAGTGTAGCAGCTATTTGTGGAGCTCTTTGCAAAGAATCGTTGCAGCTCTAGACTCAAATTTCTAGGTTTATTTATCCCGACTGTCAAATGAAAACGTTTTAACTTCATTTTTGTTTTTTTCCCCTAATCATTTAAAATATCCAGCTGCTCTTTACATTCTGGGAACATTTCAGGAACAATGGATAGTAGAAATAGTCAAAATCACATTATGTTAACATAATTAAAATTAAAAGCAATTTTTCTCCTTCACCTATAAAGTGACCATTTCAGAGATGCGCTTTCTGTGACAATATGCAAAAAAAAGGGGTCTTACACAAAGGGTGGAAAAACATAAACACACTAATTTCCAGACCAGGAACAGTTTGGAAATTGACAGAATGTTCATAACTTTGGCGGAAAAAAGTATGTCTATTCTTTCGTGTTACGCTGAAAATGTCACGGTAGTTAATTCAATTTGGAGAAAGTTAGAAATCCCAGATATTCTCAAATATTCCTGAAAATAGAGCATGTTTCATATTTTCCTTCTGCTGTGACACACAGTTAATGACCTTTACACGTAGCCTGAAAACTCAACACAAAGTCTGGATGAAGGTGTATAAAATCTCTACAAGGAAAAGGAAAGCCCTGAACAGATGTGGTCATTTTCTGCTGTGTTGAATCAGTTTCAGACTGAACAGGTTGAAATGGGGCCAGTGTGATCTTTTTCTTTTCTCTTTTTTTTCCCTTTTTCTTCTTTGTTTTATAATTGACTGTTCAAAAGTTTGGAATCACTTGACAAAGCAATTAAAAATATTGAATATATCAAGTTTTTTTGAGGGGCTAGAAGTGATGAAATGATGCATTTTTTTTAATACTGTAATATTATCTGCCTCAACTTTGGGTCACTACTTTGGGAAAAAAAAGACTTCTGGATGTTAATTTTATCAAAACTTAATTCGGGATATTTGATCAGAACTTCAGTCTGGATGTTAAATGTATTAGAACTTCTTCATTCTTGATGTTCTGCAGTGTGTCTCAGTCATTTTAGAATCTTCTCTTCAGATTATCCAAATTTCACAAATTCATGAGTCGGTTGATCCCCCCCCCCCCCCCCACCCCCACAATCAACAACACATAGATTAGGGTGTCAGTCTAAATGCAGAAGCTGTGCTGATGAAATGTAGCCTTACTGTCTCCCCACATGCTGATGCACTGGTCCAGTTTGAGTGGACATTGGCCGTCATAGCAGTAGCCACTGTTGTTTCTGCAGGGAAGGCCGTTCACTCGGTATGTGTCTTCTGGACAGTCTGCGTTCGTCCCGCTGCAGTACTCAGGCAGGTCACACTCACTTTGAATGTTCCGACACATGGTGGCCAGAGGCAGGAACTGAAAATCAGAAGATTCTCTGATTTAGACTTTAGTCACCCAAATCAAATCTCAGTAAATGATTGTGTAAAACTGAGAAACTGCACATTTAGTTCCTAACTCCTTTTCTCAGGTTCTGAGTTTCTGTTCATTTTGTTGCACAGATGCCTTTGAAGGTGTTTTACAAAGCAGTATTTCTGCACCTACATTCACAGCATTTACCATTTGCAGTTTCTATCCAGAGGGACTTGGAAAACTTACTCTTACGCTAGTGCTAATTGGCTAGAGCAGTTTTTCCCAACCTGGTCCTCGGGGGCCCCACAGACAGTCCACATTTTCTTCACAACACTTAAGAATGAAAGAAAAATGTTCACCATCTGGGGGCCCTGAGGACCAGGTTGGGAAACACAAGGTTAGAGTCTAAAGATGCGTTCAAACTAAAGCAGTCAGAGCTAATGCATGAACACACAGATTCACAATACACAGAGACTAAGAGATTTATTTGTGCTTTATGTGTACAGTTAGAGTCATTAAATGCAAGGAGAGGGATTATCAGTTCATGCTTAAAGAGACCAAAGAGGACCTGGTTCCTGTTTAATTTCTGCAGAATTTAAGCCCAATGTGAGAGCTCTTCAACAAGCTTGCTGGACAAGTTTAATTTTAGACTTCAGTTACATGGCTAATGGAGAAATCTTGCTTTGTAAAATAACCATGGCTAATGGAGAAATCTTGCTTTGTAAAATAACAGCAGATGAACAGTGAAAATGTCATGTACATATATGTTTTTATGGTTTCTATGAAAAACATTAGGCCAGAAACATATTCAGTGTAAGAATGTGTACACAAATGACAACAACAAACAAACTTTCTTTCAACTTCTGACTGGATGTGTCTTGGATTTTGGCTTCAGTCTTGTGCTAGAAACTCCAGCGTTTGAGTGAGTGTTTAAGATAAATGTGTGTGAATGTGTAAGTTAGAGGTGTGTGTGTTTGACCTCTGACCTTGCAGTTGTTGCAGCAGTCTCCGGAGGAGCACTGTGATCCCTGGGTAAAGGTGCAGGTGGCAGCGTGGCAGCATGGGTCTGTACAATCCTACAACACATAGCCAAACAGCCAGTCAGACCTTTATTATGCAAATATTATAGTGGACATCTCCAACTCTCTGAGCATCCCATAGAGGTTGTTACCTACTCTCAAGGACTCTCCTAAAATTGGTCCGTTCATACCTGCAAGGAAAGATCTACTTTGTCAAAATAGAAAATAATGTTTCTGAGAGAGTACCAGTGACCTGTGGTGTCCCACAGGGTTCAATTCTTGGGCCGCTCTTGTTTAATCTATACATGCTGCCTCTTGGCCAAATACTACAAGACTATAGGATATCTTACCACAGCTATGCAGATGATACTCAGATCTACTTGGTCCTCTCCTCAAACTACTGGAGTCACTTTGTAAGTGCCTTGAGCACATCACTAACTAGATGGGACAAAACATTCTGCAGTTGTATAAAGATAAAAGAGAAATTATTTTATTCTGGAATGGCAATGAGAGGCTCAGACTAGCTGCCTGTCTGTGACCTTGGCGTACTAATGGACTCTGATCTTAGTTTTAGCAGTCGTGTCAAAGAAGTCAGCAAATCAGCTTTTTATCACCTTAAGAATATCAACAAGATCAGAGATGTTCTGACTAAAGCAGACCTGGAGAAAGTCATCCACGCCTTTATTTCCAGCAGAATTGATCACTGTAAAGGTTGCCTAACTGGACTCCCAAAAAAGACAGTCAAACAGCTTCAGCCGATTCAGAATGCTGCTGCCAGAGTCTCACTGGGAGTAAAAGAAGGAACACCCCCCCATTCTTAAATCCTCACACTGGCTACCAGTCTGTATCAGAACAGACTTTAAGGAGCTGTTACTGCTCTAGAAATGTCTTAATGGTGCAGGAGCAGCGTTTTTATCTGATCTGCTGCAGCAACATGAGCCGAGCAGAACTCTCAGTTCATTAGGAACTAGTCAGTCCTGCCAAAGGTGAAGACTAACCATGGAGAAGTAGCGTTTGGCTACTATGCTGCTCTTAATTGGACCAAGCTGTTTTAGGTTACTCGTGGAACTGAACTCTGCAGTAATGTATAATTTTGTATGAGCAGGGTTAAAGATATCTTTGCCATATTCTTACTTTTTGGGTAATGTGTGTAGTTTCACACTTCTGACTTTAAAGGGACCATATTTCTCCTCAACTAGACTTATTTATGTGGTTTCATGTACCAAAAACAGTTATAGTTCATTTTTACATGACAATTTTCCAGTCTCTCTTCATTCCTTAGAATTAAACTGTTTTTGTTACTGTACTTTTTAGACTGATATATGTATTTGTATTGAGTCTCATTCAAAAAGCAGTCTAGGCTCACATTTGGAACAATCTTATAAACTGGGATTAAGCTCCTCACAGCTGTGAGGGCTAAAAATAAACTTCAGCCTCTTTGTGATGTGTGGATTGTTTGGAAGGCTTTAAGGATCTGTTTGTTTCCTGACAGCCAGGAACAGCACAACATTTAATCAAGGAAGAGCACTCAATCAGTACTACCGGAATGGGCGGGGCTGAACTGGGCACAGTTTGTGGCTGTGATTTCACAACCATGATGAATTCGAAACAACCTGTTTTTGTAGCTTAGCTTCTGTATGTGGACTGTATGGGTTGAAGAGTGAGTGTTGCACTTTGCAACATTAACAGTATTTACATACTGCATCAAAATCTTTTATTGAGGTTTTCCATGATATTAGCTCTTTAAAACATTTCTGTCCCCTCACCTCCACGGGGCCACAGTCACAATCCTCTCCCTCCTCCTGGAAGCCGTTTCCACAGATGGGTGGGGAGATGATGGAGCCGTTAGCAGGTTCATTCAGCAAACAATGCAGAGCAGGAGACGACTGTAGGAACTGCACATACTCCGCCACACTGCAGTTACTGAAGTGCTCAGGAGGGGGGTTACTGTAGAGGACATAAAACTGACCTTCAGGGTCTGAGCACAAGACTGCAGACAGGTTTGGATGCCTAATGTCTCTTTTTTGCTCTCTTAACTTTGCAGTAGACATTTACTGTCTATTTTATTAGAAACACCTTGTGCTTCCACTAACTGGCCACTTTATTAGAAACGCCCACCTTGTGCTTCCACTAACTGGCCACTTTATTAGAAACACTTACCTTGTGCTTCCACTAACTGGCCACTGTATTAGAGACACCCACCTTGTGCTTCCACTAACTGGCCACTTTATTAGAAACGCCCACCTTGCGCTTCCACTACCTGGCCACTTTATTAGAAACGCCCACCTTGGGCTTCCACTCACTGGCCGCTTTATTAGAAACACCCACCTTGCGCTTCGACTAACTGGCCGCTTTATTTGAAACACCCACCTTGTGCTTCCACTAACTGGCCACTTTATTAGAGACACCCAACTTGTGCTTCCACTACCTGGCCACTTTATTAGAAACGCCCACCTTGCGCTTCCACTACCTGGCCTCTTTATTAGAAACGTCCACCTTGGGTTTCCACTAACTGGCCGCTTTATTTGAAACACTCACGTTGCACTTACACAAACTGGCCACTTTATTAGAAACACCAACCTTTTAGTTCCAACAAAATACACTCAGAGACTGTAATGAATAATATGTTGCTGTAGTTTATTGTTCTCAGATCTGTACCTGAGTACTGGAGCCATGATGCAGTGAGCCTCAACACAGGAGCAGGATGATGTATCATGAAGCATGCCCAGGTTGTGTCCAAGTTCATGTGCTAACACGGCTCCCGTCTCCAGGGCATTGGACGAGAAATCCTGCAACAGTTTAATATGATCTCATCAATTAGCATCTCTGGCTCTACAGCTATGTATTTAGTTACTGGTGCATATATGAAGCTGAACACTAATCACTGAGGTTCTGAAGGGCTTTATAATTAGCTGCTGAGTTGAGGTCAAGGTGCAAAATACAGGGGGTCCTGGGGGGTCTGGGACCTCCTAATTAACCTCTTGGACCCCCTGGATGTCCCAAAATCAGCTTCTGTCTTTGGTATCTTAACTAACTAGAGCTGCAGCACTGCTCTGCCTCAGGGTGGCGCTGTAGCAGTCTGGTTCACCCAGTTGGTCCCTCATATCCTAGAAACTGTAACTCTGCCTGGATTCCTCATAACTCTACAATGTGCTGCAGCAGATCTGTAAATATCAAAACTCGCCGAGTTTCCCAAGAGTTTGGTGTAAAGAGTGACTGGTCCTCATTTCTTATACTGAAGACAGAAGAGTGCCAAACTAGAACAGAGCATTTACAGAAGAACAACTGATAAACCAAACATTTTATTGCCTTTGAAGCATCAGCGCTGCTATGGTGAGTGAGTTAGCAGATAGACAACATAAGACCCCCGAATACCAGGGGGTAGTTTGCACACTGGTTGAGGTTTGTTAGAGTAAGTAGGTTCAGCCATGCTAGACTTACTCGAACTAAAGTGGTGGAGTCCATGGTGCACAGGCTTCCCACGTTTGCCAGGCCCACTATAGAGCCAAAGTTTATCGCTCTGAAAAACAATGGCATGTTTGAGCACACTTAAATCATGTGTATGTGTATGTATTTCTCTCTTTGTGAGGACCCAGAATGATGAACTCATGAACAATGTGTGGTTTGTGGGGACATTAGTCTGCTCTCCATGAAGAAATGCTGTTACCAAAAACTGTATATAAAAAACATAAAAGAGGCCAAAGCTTATCTTTTAGTTGCTGAGGAGCACAGCAGGATTTACATGCAGTAATACACACACACACACACAAGACACATTAGCCTCGTTCTATGAGTACTCCCTGAAAACCTCCGGAAGGACCATCTAAGATTTGCTTAAAGACGCAATGTGCAATATTTAGTGTCACTCAGTGGTGATGTAGCAGACTGCAACCAGCTAATTCCCCCTTCCTCACCCCTCCCTTTATAAGCGTGTAGCAGAACCTACAGTGGCTGTCAGGTTTTCTCTGCCTGTCCCGATTTTGTTTTGCTTCTTCATGTTTTCACTTTTTTGATGGCGAGGATTCACCATCCCTCGCTTCTTCCTGTGCTAAATTACAAGTCTGATCCTCCATTTGTCAAAATTTGATTCTTACAGCACAAAATGGTCAGCCAGAACCAGCAGCAACCACTGATTTTTCTTCTTTCTACGTCCTCCTACCAGAGCTACAGCGCCACCAAATTCAGTGTAAAAATTCGAAAGGCACCCTCTAGAGCCAGTGTTTGGTTTGTCCATTGTGGGCTACTATAGACACATGGCGGCGCAACATGGAGGCACAACATGGCGGCCTCTGTTGGAAGAGGAGCCGCTCCCTATATAGATATGAAGGGTTCATTCTAAGCTAACAAAAACACAACAATTCATAGTTACAGCTGATTATATTGTATACTATACTCCATTTCTGCTAATAGAGCCCCCTAAATCTTACACACTGCACCTTTAACAGAGATTTGATTAATAAATAATGTGATTGTGCAGTCACTTTATTAGTCTCTGAGATACAGACGCTTCAAAAAGTTGATGTGGCGATCATCTTTGCCCTAAAGTGAGTGCTAAGGTAAAAAATTAATTACTTTTATTTTTTGGCTGACTTGAAGTAAATCATAACTGACAGCCACTAGACTCACGTGATGAGCTGAGCATTGTCGTTTTCCTTAATGGTGTTCAGTTCGTTTGTCCTCCATTGTGTAAACGCAGACAGAGTTCTGGCTGCAGAGGAAGTGATGTTTATCTTATCTCCGTCTGACCACACCTCCAACCCCACCAGAGCGATGAATGTGTGTAAGGGAAAGGTAAACCTGAGGAAACACTGTTTATCATAAAGCAGCTTTGTGCTAATGCTTTGGGCATTGAAGTGCCTGAATAAAGATTTCAGACTTTTCTATTCTTTACTGAACAGCTCCACACTGTGGTGATCTAGGCAAGCAGGTAGCACCATGCTAACTGTGGGCTAAACTTCCATTACCTGTTAGCTAAATTAGCCAGTGCTAGATTAACAGTTATTATTACTAAAGCAGACTACCAAAACAACTCACCATGTTAACGAAGTTGATGATCTGAAACATCCTCTTCCTCACTTTGGTCACGTCGCTCCCTAACTTCCGAAACTAACACAACACACATTCGTTACGTTTTAATTATTTAAAGTATGTTACATGTACAAAATAATTTGATCACTACAGAAAATAAGATTGTAATAATGAATTAACACATTTATACGCATTCATTTACTAATAATTATATTTAATAATAATTAATATTACTAATATTACTGATAAGACTCCGGATCTTTATGAGTCTCAATCAGGCAATCAATTAACCTTTGTTTCAACCAAGCCAATTACAAGGAAGTGAAAAAGTTGAAATGAAATTTACCAGATAAACAAATTAAAAAAGACAAAAAGATTTATTAAAAATAATACTACTACTAAAAATAATATTTATAAAAACAAACAAAAAAATAAAATAATAATAATAATAATAATAATAATAGCTCAAATAGAAATATATATATATATGTCTGAAGGTGGTTGGAGACTAAAGGTTTAAAATGACTTAGTGACACCAGCGAGCGAGTTTTAGAGACTCCTATAGTAAATCCAGCTCACTGGTGCTCTGAGCTAAAAGCAGTTCAGTAAAAGCTCTCAGTACCTGACAGGTGATCCGGTCACTAGAGCAGCTCTGATAATTACTGTTATTTATAGAGATCATCACTGAGATATAAGCGATGAGATTATGTGGCTCTGAATTGCACACAATGTAATAATCTGCCAAAGTTTCAGTTCTACACTCTTAAAGATGGTTTTTCAAGGGTTCTTTAGTAAAGAAAATTGTTCTATATTGAGCCATGAACACTCAACCAAACCTTTGCATGATTAAAGTGTTCTTTGCACACTTAAGAAAGGGTTCTTAAGAATGTGCTGTAGAAAGGTTCTGTATAGAACCTTTCTGAAAAGGGTTCTATACAGCACAAAAAAGGGTAATTCTATTGTTACAATGTCAAACAATAGAAAAAATATTTTGGGTGCTATATAGAACCGTTTTCAGAAAGGTTCTATATAGAACCTGAAGAACCATTTCACCATGTGAAGAACCATTTAATGCAAATGTGTTCATGGTTCTATGTAGACCCATTTTCTTTACTAAAAAACCCTTGAAGAACCATCTTTTTTAAGCGTGACTGTTGAAATAGTTGTTGAGTGTTAACTGCTGGGCAGCTCTTCTCTGTCTGGTTTTGTTTGTGCAGATGTAGAAAAATGAAAGCAATCAGAGAACAAATGTGCTGAAAATCCTGTTTAAATCCAGCTCTCTTTACTGGATTTCTTGACATCTGATACCAGTCTAAGTAATTGGAGTATGCTGTTTATGTGACCATCTAAACAATCAGATAACTGCTGGAATCAGATAATGATCGTGTTACTGGTCTACATATAAACACACTTGATGATATTTGAGAATAAATATTCAGACTGTTTCGTACCTCACTGTTGTCCACGACCAGAAACATCTCAATGTACTTCTGTTCATCCAGAACAGTTTGTGTTTGTGAATCTTGCTCAGCAAACTGCAGTAAAAAAAGGAATATATTTGAAACATCTGCGTCCAGTACAATTATAAATTTAAATGTTTGTGGACACCCATCTTTACAAAATGTTTCTGAGCTAAATGAGCATGTTTTCATTCTCAGACTGCACAAAGTTACAATTTTACCTGAACATGTTTATTTATATCACTTGTGTAAATATTTGTGCCAACATTGTTAACAGTGCAGTGTTGGGGAATAAAGCTAAAGGCCACGCCCACTTTCTCCCCTTGTTGTGATGTCAGCACTCAAGGGCCCAATCCCATTTTGCCCCTTGCCCCTACCACTTAGCCCCTACCCCATTCTCGTCTAGGCGTAGGGTGTCCCGATTCTTGTTGAGATAGAAGAGTGAAGTGTTGGGGCTGCATGACTCTCCAAACAGAGGTTTTTTAGGAGACGCCCTCCACACGGAGTGTTACGAGAAAAAAAGAAAAACCTGCAAGATGGCTGAATAAGCGACCAAAGAAACCCACAAATGTGAGAATTTTCTCTGTTAAAAAATTCCAATAACACTTATTATTATTATTATCACGTATTATCTTAGTTTAATGTTGTTTCAAATGGTCCTTTTCATCATAACAAGCATTAAAAAAATCGCTGATAGTAGCGGATGTCTTGGAAGCTAAATTTCCCGTTGCACCTTAAATAGTCAGAATGTAACTGCTGCATATTTAAGGTGAAATGGGAAAATTCAAGCAAGAAGCTGGCGAATAGCTGACTTCAGCTCCATATCACTGAAGAATTAGTGGTGGGCGATAACAAATAATTGCCTCCCCTCTTCGAAGGCATATGATTCCCTAAAGTTAACTAAAGCCCAGCAGCGAGGTTGAGGCTGAACTTTACCCTCCTCTGCTATCACTGCAGACTGGCAGGGTCGCCTACAGAGCACCACTAGCAGCCTGTTAATGAAGTATTTTTTGTTTGAGGTTCCTATTTTGTAGGAAAGATTTCAACCACTACCCCTTATAACTCAGTTCCAAGGGGCAAGATGACACTCAAAAACAAGGGGTAGGGGTAAAAATAAGAAATGGGATTGGGCCAAGGTATTTAAGAGTTTCAATATGAGTTTTTAACAATAATTTGAAAAAGACTAAACTTTCTTACATCTTTGAAAAGTAATGATGAAAAGCAGAAAAATCACCAGAAGTGCTACTACAGGGGTCGCAACCTACAAAAATCAAACCACCTTCGGAGCTAAAACATGTTATGTCCATTTTACCATCTTGGCTGTAAATATATCTCAGTATGTGCTAATGTGAGTATAGACTAAAAATATGTAATATAAATATAAACACAGTTTTACTTTGCTCTGCTTTAAGCTTCAGCACAGCTATAGCTGCTTTTCTCGCATCTCTGACAGGAAACTTTTCCTCAAAAGTAGAAGAGTTTCTTGTAAAAATGTCTCTCAATGTTTGATTTCTTTCTTTTCTTAGCTACTAGCTAGGTGAGATTGTTGTCTGTGTTGCTATGGTGGCCAGCAGTCTGTGTGCTGATCTTCAGGGTTAAAAGGTGAATTAGCAGTTCCACATTAACTCCAGCGTATAAGACCATTTATTGTTAAAACTATGTTAGAACGATCAGCAGAGCTTTATTTTACTGCAAAGGAGGATTATTTTATTTTTACCTAAAGATCTAATTCTGCTGTGGGGCCGCAACAGGACAGTAAAAGAGCCGCATGTTGCCGACCCCTGGGCTAGTATAAATAAATCACTGAAGATAAAGAAGCCAAAGTGTCCCCAAACCTTTGATGGTCAGGATCTACTGTAAGTGAATCTCCTTTTCAGTTAATGCTTCTCTTACCACAGATCGATGCGGCACTCTGACGTTGAATCTGGGCAGTGCAGAGTCCAGGGTTTGGTTGGTGACTCCACAGGAGAAGCCGCTGCTTCTGAAGAATTCAGCCTTAAACACTGCATGTTCTCCAGTTTCGCTGCCCGTCAGAGGCTCAATCATGTAGTCCTGACCTCCCGCTCTGAAAAACCCTCTGTCCACAGCACAAACAGACATCTTTATATATGTGAGAGTTTGAGCAGCCCTAGTCAAATTCCACGTTGTTGATTTCAGTGTAAATAAGTGAACACTTCCTCTACAGAAGCACACTTCTGCACATGTTAATACACAATTACTGTTTATTTGCTGAACACACTGGAAAAAACAATACACTGGAAAAAATGCAGTTTTTAAGTATGTTAACCATGTTAACTTAAAATTTTGAGTCCATATAACTTGTAACATTATCATATAAACAACTTGTGTTTTACATTTGTTAACTTATTTTAAGTTCAGTGAACTCAGCATTTTAAGTAAATCCTGTTACTTTTTAACTTTAAAGCTGCATTTTTTTAATAGTGTAAAACAAAGTGTGGCCTGTGCAAAAGTACATTCTATATTTTATGTTTAATTTCTTTCCAATATTTCCAAAAACCTTTTTTCACTTACAAAATCAACAAAGCAGGGAATCTGATCAGGATGTGTTCAAACTTCTGCGTCTGACTGTAAATTACCTGATTTACAGAAAATTGTATAAAGTTCACTCATAAAAAAGATGATGCCTCAAGGGTTCTTTAGTAAGGAAAATGGTTCTATACAGATGGTTCTTTGTACAATCTTTTTAAAAAGAGTTCTATATAGCACCCAAAAGCGTTCTTCTATTTTATACAGGCTTGACACCGTAACAATAGAACCCTTTTGGATGCTATATAAAATATGAAGAACCTTTTACAATGTAATGAACCATTTAATCATGCAGAGGGTTCTTTCAATGTTCATGGTTCTATACAGAACCATTTCTTTACAAAAAAACCCTTGAAGCACCAACTTTTTTCAGAGTTTACCACTCAAAGTTTTGGACACTCCACATTTTTAAGTAACAGTGAACAGTGCAGAAAGCTGTTCTGTAAAATTGCCCCCCCCCCCCTTTAATGCAGCTTTGTTGCAGTTTGAGCACCCTGGGGTGGAGATTATGTTTACATCATTGGTACCTGAGACCTTCACATGTGCTTATGCTGGCTATGGACTGCTGGTCATCTCCAACTGAGCCGTGATAATAGCACTGATGATCTCCCTGTGTATCATATACTGTTATCAGGCCACAGATCTCACACACATTATTAAAAAAAAAACAAAAACAGGTGGAGTACAGGTCAACACTCACCTGATCCTGAAGGCTAGTGGTCACTCTGGTCCCATTGGGTGTATAATGAGTCTCAGTGTAGTTTGGGCTGATCAGTTCTCTGCAAGACAAAGACAACACTATGTTGTACAGGGTTATGCTGTTATTATGCAGTTTTATACTGATATTATCAGAGGTGAGTAGTAACTAGTGTGGTGATAGGAACCAGACGGCCACTTCTAAAAGGTTCCTCAAAGAAAGTTATTACATGAAGTGGTTAAGAATACACTGCCTGATGTCTGAGACATTGTTTTATGATATTTTTGAGAAGATTTTGGCATTAAAATTCATTCATGGTGGAGGGATACATAATATGCAGGGCACTGTGAGGCAAAAATAGTCCCCAAAGAAAAGTATAATTATAAAACTATAAATTATTTCAGATTTTCCACTATTTTCCCATCATTAACATTCCATATAAACCTCAGAAGACACGTGTAGGTTCACTGGATGTTGAATAAAATCTCGATATTTGCATTGTAGACATCACAACTCCTGGTTCCCATCACCACCACTGTTAAATTTTGTATATAACAGTGAAAAATCAGTGAAACTACAATTTAAAAAGAAGCAGGAGGTTAACACATTTGACACATTTAATTGACAAGTAGATAAATACGAGAACACAAGAAAACAGAGGTGATTGATAAACACTTCTAAACTGACATACATAATAATAAAGAGAAAACGTAGATAATATTTCTATAATAAAAACTTCACGGAGCATGGAATTCACTGTGTTCGAAAATAGCCCAAAAAGAAAACAATGAAAGGAAGGCCGTTTAGGAGAGTCTGTAAAGGTAAAACTTCTCACCTGGTTCTCCTCAAATGAAGGTCAATGTTCTTCTGCTTCAGCTCCACTCTATACGAGAATGTGTCTGTGTGTGAGGACTGTGGACAAAACAAACATGTTTTATGTTGACTAAGGGTTGCACAGTCTACACTCTTAAAGACGGTTCTTCAAGGGTTCTTTAATAAAGACAGTGTTCTTTGCATGGTGAAACGGTTCTGCAGACTGATGGAGAATGTGTTGTATATGGCTCCGTATAGCACCAAAAAGGGTTCTGTTATTGTCAAGTTTGTATACAACAGAAGAACACATTTTGGTGCTACAGAGAACCCTTTTCAAAAGGCTTTATATAGAACCATGTACAATACATACTCCATCAACCTGAAGAACCATTTCACCATGCAAAGAACCATTTAAGCATGCAGATGGTTCCTTAAGTGTTCATGGTTCTATATAGAACCACTGTCTTTACTAAAGAACCCTTAAAAAATCATTTGTTTAAGTGCGTATAATGCACAAATGAAAGCGCCTGTATACAGTAACTCACCTGTGTGTGTCTCCGCTGGTGCATGTGAAGCCGTACTGGACGGACCACTTCATATTCATTCAGCTGAGGATGCACCTCCTCTGTATACACACACACACACACACACACACACACACACACACACACACACACATCACAAATTTGGACCTTTGTCTTCTCCAGCAGCAGAAGCAGCTTAGTGAGTTGTATACAGCTGTGGAGAGCTTTTGCCACAGTGGATGGCCCACACTGGACCTTCTGTACGGAGGTTTAGGATGCTCAACTGATACAGTTTATATTTGTACGTAGATAATCAAGAACACTATTTTTGTTTGAGAGTGAACAAAGATAAACATCTAAAGTAGTAGAAAGTATTGGATAATTCACAGTACATACCAAATAATTAATAATGGATCCTGACTAATTCTTAGTAAATGCTGAATAATTCACAGTAGAAACTGGATAAATTGTAGTAGATACTGAATAATTCATAGTTCATACTGAATAATTAATAACAGGTACTGGATAGTAGGTACTGAATAATTCATAGTAAATGCTGAATAATTCATTGTAGATACTGAATAATTCATAGTGGGATACTGATAAATTCACAGTATATACTGATTCATTTTCAGTAGTTACTGAATAATTTATGGTTCATACTGAAGATTTTGTAGAAGATACTGAATAATCTGTAGTAGATACTGAATAATTCATAGTAGGTACTGGATAATTCACAGTAGATACTGAATAATTTAGAGTAGATACTGAATAATTCATAGTATATACTGAATAAATAGTAGTATATACTGAATAATTTTCAGTAGTTACTGAATAATTTACTGTTCATACTAAATAATTTGTAGTAGATACTGAATAATTTATAGTAGATACTGAATAATTCATAGTTTATATTGAATAATTTGTAGAAGATACTGAATAATTCACAGTAGATACTGAATAATTTGTAGAACATACTGAATAAATCACTGTCGGTACTGAATAATTTTCAGTAGTTACTAAATAATGTATAGTTCATACTGAATAATTCGTTGTAGATACTGAATAATTTATAGCAGATACTGAATAATTCATAGTTTATACTGAATAATTTGTAGAAGATACTGAATAATTCACAGTAGATACTGAATAAACCATAGTAGGTACTGAATAATTTGTAGTAGATACTGAGTAATTCATAGTTCATACTGAATAAATAATAGCGGATACTGAATAATTTGTAGTAAATACTAAATAATTCATAGTAGTTACTGAATAATTCTCAGTACATACTGAATAATCCGTAGTAGATACTGAATAATTCATAATGGTGCGTCTCCAGTAAACATTAGATAATCTGCTTAATATATGTTTTCAACACTCAATTGCTAAATGTAAAGACTATATATGTTTTTTCATCCTTAAGTGTGTATTGAGTTTGTTTTGCTGGGGCACAGGCCTCCCTGCTCACATGTGGCTGGTTTATCGGTGCCATCCTGTGGCTGATTAGGACTCCTTTATCATGAGTGTCCAGCCCAACTAATGTGTGTTAGTGGGTCACAGCTAAATAAACATTTCAGAGTAAACACTGCTGGACATGCGAGATGTGATCTCATCCACAAACGTGAACTACAGTAACAGGAGCCAAGTTAATGTAAATAAAACAAGTTAGTTTAAATTGGTGCTGGTTTTCTAACTCTGGGCTGATCCGTTTCTGACAACCTGTTAATTTCATACAACAAAGAATTATCTGGAAATTCAGCCCATCTCGTTTAATTCTTTAAATAGTTTAGGATTAAACCCAGTAGCAAAGTGGAATGTGTTATTTTTGTTGGAATATTTTTCTCTTTTATATTTTTTCATTATTCTGGTACAATTTATTATTAATGTTGATTTGAATTGTCGTTAACATTACTAAACATTGTTACTACTGCAATAATAACAAATATCTCTTACAATAATAATTATCAGCATTCTCTTTAAGCACTATTTGAAAGTGGTAAAAAAATTACCATCTTAATTCTTAGCTTAAAAAAAACATTATTTGACATGTTTGACTCAATAGTGCATATGATAATGTTCACTTATATTTTGTTCATAATAAATTAATATACTTGTTGTGATTATTAATAGACCTTCATTCAGTTCAAAAAGAAAAATAAATGAGTAGATAAATACTGCGGTGGCTACTACAGGTCACCACCTCCCATGACCGTAGAAGCTCTGCTATGCAGATTTTCATTCAAAGAGGCTCATAGGAGGCACACGTTGGCAGTAGCACTGTTATTATGTGTTTAAGTCAAGATGTTAGTGTTGTTTTGTGCCAGGCTTGGGGTTAGTTAGAGTAGGTTTGTGTTTGGTAACTGCTAAAAGAAAGAGAAGGGCTAGAAGTGACCTGCCTGCTATTTTGGCCATTTGGGCTGCTGTTTTCAAAAAAGAGTCCTGCATCCACTTTTTAGCCAATGCTACACTGGTGTCAGAAGTGACACAGCGCTCTGGAGGTGAATTCCACTGTGAACTCGGTGGCGAAACTGCACAAATGACCAAGCCTGGCTGAGGACTGCAAGGAATAAACTGCTTGGTGAGGATGGGTGGCGAAGACAGCGGTGGAGGCAGCGCAACGAGGCTGGAGGACAGCGAAAGAGATGATAGCCAGCCGTGAGGACCTGCCAGTGGGGCAAAACAGGCTGGCAGTGTTTACCACATCTCTTCAGCGACGCTTCCAGCAGACAGCAGTGGCATAGTTGTGCAAGAAGGCCAAACGTCAGGGCTATAGTGTACAAAAAACGTGCACACATCCCACGCTCTGCATGCCCACGCCCCCACGTCTACAGCCAGTAGTGGGTCGATACAGTATATAACTCTAATTTGGCACAGTAAAATAATGTATCTGTTGTTTTGTTGTGAAAACAAATTATCTTAGGATACAATAACAAAGCAGATTACTGTGAAGGTGACATTCAGCCGTACCACAGCATTATGGGATACGACAGCAGTTAAAAAGGTGTAAACATTTTAACAAAACATTTTTAGTGTTTTTATTATGGCAGTTCTAGTTTTGGTGTTCTAAAGGTGGTTTAATACTGGATTTTCTAAATTCTGGAACACAGCTTTTAACAGAATTTTATACATTTTTAATTTTTTTTATTTCATGTTTATGCAAAGTATAAATAAAATATGCATTTGCATCTTAAAAAAAATATTTGAGATACTCTGTTCATATGCAGGGAAAAACATGGTTTATTAATGTTAATTGACTTTTTTAACTAACATATTTTTAGGTCTCTTAAAATTAAAAGTTCATTTTTTCATACGTAAATTTTCAGTAAATTACTGGCCAGTGAGTTGCATTACTTTCACAGTTCTTTTGTAAAGATCACTGTATTTTAATGTACAGTCTGTTACTGTAAGTGTGCAGCAGAATTACAGCGACCATCATTTGAACTGTTTTATATTTTATTTGTACAGTTAATATGGCAAAGCAAATTACTGTGAAAGTAACGCAAGTAGTAGCCAGTAAATTACTGTAAAATAAATTATGGTGTATAAAATAAACAACGAATTGAAGGTTTTACTATGATCACAAAAAAATAAGTGTTTTTTGTCTCTCTGTTTGTGATTTTCTGTATCAGTGCAGTGCACTTACCTGTGCGGTGCAGTGAGAGAACAGATCCAGTGATCCACAGACAGAGCAGGGCTCTCATCATGAAGTGTCAGAGTGTCGGTCTGAGAGCAGAACCACATTCACACACTTTATACACACACCTGTTCTGCTCCTCCCTCACCTGCACTCAGTACACTCAGGTGAGCTACTGCTCCACAGCTCGCTGTCTTTCTATCCCTCTGTGTCTCCCTCTCACTCTTTATTTTTCTCTTACTCTTTCTCTGTCTCACTTTCTGAGTCTCTCTCTCTCAATCTTTCTCTACTCTCGCATCTCTGTATCTTTCATTCTCACTCTCGTTCTCTCTCACTCCGTCTTTTTCTCTTCTCTCTCTGTCTCTTTCTGTCCCCCTCTCTCTTTCTTTCTCTCTCTTCATTTGTCTTTATTTTTTTCTCAGTCTCTTTCTGAGTCTCTCTCTCTTTCTCTACTCTCGCATCCCTGTATCTTTCATTCTCACTCTCGTTCTCTCTCTCTCCCTCTTTTTCTCTTCTTTCTTTCTCTACTCTCTCTCTTTATCTCTCTCTCACTCTATCTCTACTGTCTCATCTGTCTCCTTTCTCACTCTTTCTGTCCCTCTCTCTCTCTCCTCTCACTTTTTCTCTTACTCTTTCTCTGTCTCACTTTCTGAGTCTCTCTTTCAATCTTTCTCTACTCTCGCATCTCTGTATCTTTCATTCTCACTCTTGTTCTCTCTCTCCCTCTATCTTTTTCTCTTCTCTCTCTGTCTCTTTCTTTCTCTACTCTCTTTCTTTCTCTCTTTATCTCTGTCTCCACTCTCCCATCTGTCACCTTTCTCACTCTTACTGTCCCTCTCTCTCTCTCTCTCTTTCTTTCTTGCTCTACTCTCTCTTTCTCATTCTCAGATTCATTGGCATTAACTGTAACAACCTGCCAAAACAATGAAATAAATGATCAATACTAATTACAATTATTAATGACTGTTATTATAAATGGAAAATATTTACACAGCATTTTCTTAGCACTACCTGATGTTTTCTTACAGTGATTGATCTATTAATATATAATCCTATATTTATTTATTTTATTAGTTGCTTTTATTAGTGTTGTTAACTTTTTATTTTAGTGCTTTCGCAATTTTTTCTTCTTATCGTTTTGTTCTTATATAACAGATTTTTTCAATTTGGAAACAATGATATACATTTTTATGTATAAACGGTGATCTATAAAATGTTGCGGCTGGTACTCTCAGTCTCGGCTGTTTTTCTTCTCTCTCTCTCTCTCTCTCTCTCTCTGTCCCCTCTTCACGCCCACTTATTCAACATGCTGTGTTGTGTTCATTAGTGCTGCGGTTTCTCTTCAGTGTCTGACAGGCCATTTATTCTATATGAATTTGTACTGTATGGGGTAAATATGTTTAATGCTGGGGTGATTTGTCAGTGTTAAGCACAGACTGTTCCTGAACCTAAACACAGTTTACTAAACCACTGGCTTTGATTCAACTTATCCAGCTGAACTAGAAAACTATGTTTAGTCCTTTTGGGCTGGTTTAGTTTTACCTGGAGTGTTTCTGTAATCTGCAGTGTGTGTAGTTTTACAGTCTGACGGTAATAATTGTGGAGTGATTTTAATCCAGTATGAATCTGCAGTGTGTGTAGTTTTACAGTCTGACGGTAATAATTGAGGAGCGATTTCAATCCAGTATGAATCTGCAACGTGTGTAGTTTTACAGTCTGACTATAATAATTGTGGAGTGATTTAAATCCAGTATGAATCTGGTGTGTGTTTGGTTTACAGTCTGACGGTAATAATTGTGGAGCAATTTAGTCCAGTATTAATCTGCATAAATTCATAAACACTAGTGGTCTATTAACAGGTGGCATACACAACATATGCTGAATGTATAATAAGTACAGAGAAAATAATATAGTCAGTTCCAATCCAGCTCTAGATCATTAGATGTCCTAAATAGCCGCTTGTTTTTTGTCAAACTTGTGGATTATCCATCTCATGTTCATGTGAATTAATATTATAATGTATGGGCTGAAAGTGTTTTATGTTTGAAGTCATTTGTCAGTTTTAAGTGCAGTTCTCTTGACGAAACTGCTTGTCTTGTATACATTTCTTGGCTACCTTGCACGGCCAGGACGGATTTTAAAAGGAGAACAAAGACTGCAGCAGGTTTTATGGGGTCATTAGTTTTGTTTGGTCAATAGAAATGATTAAATGCAGTTTTAGTGGAGCCATAGGCCAGCACAGTAAACCACAGCCTCTGTACACTTTGAATAAGGATGTAAGTATGTAAAGATTCTTAGCACGGGTCCAACCTGCACGTGAAAGGTTTGAGGAAAGCTGGCCATCCTTTCTGAAATGCAATCTTTGATTTTTTCTGTTGTTTTTCAATGACGCGAGAAAAATATCTGTAAAGGTTTAGTTTATAATGAGGCAGCTCTGTGCTAATGCTTTGTGGTCACTCAAAACAATGACCCAGCAAGGTTGTTAGACTTAAAAACTAAAAATATGTCAACGTTAAATGAATGAATTGTTTTGTGGATTCCATTTGAATAAAACTGAAATTAATTTCAATGGAATGTTTCAATTTTGTTCTGTCTACAGTTGAACTTAACACTGAGGTAAAGTCTGAGTAGACTGACTCTTTGACTGAATGAAAATATGTGGCATAATTAAATTTAATTCATACAATTATTACTCACACACTCTCCATCAATGAAAAGCCTTCCTTTGTAGTCTTAGTTTAATCTGAGTCTCAGAAAGTCCCAAAGAAAAAATATTTATCTTTTCATCATTTGTCTTATTTTTTTAATTTTGCCATGAAAGAGTCTGAACAATTATCAGTGCTGCAAGTAATAATTATTTCAATGATCAATTGATCAGTCCATTATGATTTCAATTAGTTGTTCAATCAGGAAAAGAAAAAGTGCAGTTTGGTTTTCTGTCCATAAATAAACACAGAAAATGGCGTTTTAAAAATCTCTGTGGGATCTGAAATGCTGTTTTCATGTGGACAGAAGACAGAAACATAAAAAAAAAATCTGCTTTGTAAGCTTCTTCCTGACACAAAACAACTTACAATTCATATTTTATACAAACAAAAGTCTTTTTTTTAAACATGTAAAATGACATAAAGTGCTGTATTTTGTATCTTCTCATATAGAGTCATAATGGAAAACAGGATTTGATCTTTACTGTTATTCGGGAACACACTGTAAAAAAAATAGCTGATTTAACCTAAAATAAAATCTGGCTGCCTTGAAAATTGCATGCTCAGCTAGCTGCCTTTTTTAAGTTAAAACAACACATTTTTGTGTATATTATAGAGCTGGGCAATATGACATTTGTCAAACGATGATAAAGTATGTCACAGTATGTCACTGTATGCTTTTCTGAGCATATTGTGGAACTCATCAGTACTTAAACACTTCCCAACTGCATGCTTGATTACAAAGACATTAATGGGATTTAGTGCAGTAGTGTGTGAAATGCAGTGCAGTGTGTGAATATTCTCTTTGATAATACTTTTTTTTCAAAAGTATGGCCTTTTCCTACTAATCAGATGTCAGAAAAACATTGCGACATATTGCATATTGGTAAAACTTCTTAAGGTATTGTAAAACTGCATTTGTGCCATATCACCCGCCTCTTTATTATCTTGTAGAGTCATAATTGTAAACAGGGCGTGGAATTTTCTGTTTAATGCGTTTTATTTCCCGGTTTTCCTTTATCCTCTTCCTTATTTGCAGTGCTGTGTAATTCTGTATGCGCTGTGTTGTTTAATTTGTAGTGATTACTCTCTATTCTTCAAAGTTACAGTGTGAATGTAATTGTATGTGTCTGTTTCAGGATGCACTGAGCACATTCTTGTAGGTCCAGAATAGACTGCTAGTTTTGAAGCCCTTTTTGGGCGTTTATATATGCTGACATATAAAAAGTAACTGCAAAAACCCAGCTCAGCCTGGGCCAGACTTTGTGATTGGATAGCATTACTGCTATTGAGTGCCGAATGGATAGCATTACTGCTACTGAGTGCTGTTTGGTTAGCATTACTGCTACTGAGCGCCGATTGGTTGGCATTACTGCTACTGAGCGCTGATTGGTTGGCATTACTGCTACTGAGTGCTAAATGGTATGCATTACTGCTACTGAGTGCCGAATGGATAGCATTACTGCTACTGAGTGCTGATTGGTTGGCATTACTGCTACTGAGCGCTGATTGGTTGGCATTACTGCTACTGAGTGCTAAATGGTATGCATTACTGCTACTGAGTGCCGACTGGATAGCATTACTGCTACTGAGTGCTGACTAGTTAGCATTACTGCCATGGAGTGCTGATAGGCTTGGCATTGCTGCTGCTGAGAGCTGATTGGTTGGTACTTAAACTTTCCGACTGGAAATGTAATCAGATACAAGCGTTGACACGGTTATTATCCTTCTATTTAACGGATTATTCCAATATCATTCAATTAAATAGAAGTTGTATTCAGAATGGCCACAATTGGACTAGCCTGTTCCGACTGAGGTGTATACATGGACTTAATCTATTCTAATTGAGCTATTTAAGTCAGATTATTAACGGATTATTGACCTGCATGTAAACGTGGTTATAAGTGAAAGGGTGGGGTTAGGGCACCTTTCCAGTGGGCCAGATCCAGCATCCCCACAGCCCTGTTATCCAGCCATAATTGTAAACATGATGACTTTTCCATGCTGGATTACTCACCTCTCTCTCACACCTTTATTCTGTTTATTCTGTGTAGGCCAGCAGTGAAGACATACAGTCAGTTGGTCAGTATCTCACCGGAGCATTGTGTGTGATGAGAATTTGATTTGCCCAGTTAGTCCACATTTACCTCCCACAGCTTTGTGCTCCAGCTCAGGTAAACACTTCCACAGAAAAGTCCAGAAACGCTGTTATCAGCCACCGCATTTACACAGCAAATACTGACTCTTTTGTGCTGTTAAGGATTACAGCATGTGTCATTTATTCTGCTTCGGTGTACAGTGAATGGGCCATACGGATCAATACTGATCCAGCTGGAAGTATTTGAAGTTTTACCCTGCTGAAAAAAAAATCACAGAAACCCTTAAAAGGTTCTGCCGGTTCCTGAAGGTGTCCAATAGTCACTAATGGTATACTGTGTTTTTTCTGATGGGTTGATATCACAGTGTAGAGGACTCTAATGGTTTAACAGGTGTTCTGAAACTGATTATAGATGCATTTATTGGTTTCCTAATGGGATCTAAA